TCACTTCAAACAATCCTTCAAAATCCGATGGGTTTGGATGGGATTGTTTTATGAATTTGGTATTTATAGATAACACTAGAAAGTCCTTCAAAATCCCTCTCACACAACAATCCTTTAAAATCCTTATATTTTTGAATACCAATGGATTGTTTTTAAGTTGTAAAAAATCTCAAATGAATACCAATGGATTTTAATGGACTCTTTAAAAAATCTTGAAAATCCTGATTGAATACCACTGGATTATTTTTAAGTGACATAAAATCCTGATTGAATACCAATGGATTTTTTTACTCAAAAAAAGTCTTTTAAAATCCTACGAAATCCTAAACCAATACACCCCCCTAAATATTTATAAGATAAGAAAATATAAAGAAAAAACGTTTCGTAAAATAAAATTAGTTAATACATAAGTTAAAAAATAATTCAAAGAAACTAATATAAGATAATTTTTATAAATTAACTTGTGCATAAGCTAATTTTAATTTATAAAAAAAGTTGATTTCAATTTTTCTTCCTGCTTTCCTCTTCTGTAAATGCTTATGAATAAATTTATCTAAAATGACTCTAAAGGTCTGTTTGGTTCAAAGAAAAGAAGGGGAGGAAAAGAGTTAAAAAAATTATTTGGTTGAGAAAAGAGAAGAAGAGACAACTCTTTTTTGTTTAATTCATAAGAAGATGGGAAATGTTTCACAAACAAATTTACTTTTGTATCCTTGTAATTTTAAATTTAATAGCATAAATAAAAATATTTTAGATCTTATATTAAAATGTTTAAAAATCCCTTCTCTCCCCTCCAAATCCCTTCAATATTGGAATGAAGCTGAAATTTGGTTTGGAGGGATTTTGCTCCCCTCCCCTTCCCTCCTTAAAATGAGACCAAATAAGAAAAGATTTTAAAAATTTATCCCCTGCCATTCATTCCCTACCAACCAAATACTTATTTATCTCAAGGAATAACTTTTTTCTTCATATTTTTAAGGAATAAGATGATATGTTGTTGCAATTTCGAATGATTAATTTAATGGTTTACTCCAAACAAAAGATAATAAACCTATTTTCTAGATGGGTGCTCTTGTGGATCACCTTTAAAGGTGATCAACAATGCACCACTCTTTATGGATGGTTAGATTTATCTATATCCTACAATAACATGATATACTTGATGTACTAGATTTTATAATTTTCTTCACTTTTTCCACTCTAACTGTAATGTTCTTCGTCAACCGTGGATGTGGTTTCTCTTATGCAAAATAGTGCTAACTCGTTGCTTCCACTCCTTTAACCTAACCCTAAGCACCACAATAATTCCCTTTCCCTCACCACCACTCTCACTGTCTCTTCTCCAACATTAGCCCCACCCAAATCCCAACATTCATTCTTAAAAATTTCTTCACCACCAAGCTTCTCAGTTGCAGAAACCCCCAATGCGGCTACCTCTTCAACAATGAATCCCTCCCCTCACAAATGACTCTTAAGAGATACTCATACCACTTAATCAAAAGAGCTAGCTCAACAACAACAACCTGGTTTTGCAATTGAGAAGAAGTTAATTCCCAAAACAACTTCGTTTTGCAAACTAGCTCCACTTGTGGTGCCAAAACTAAGAATCTCAACAACACAAATTCAATAAGGAAAGACACGGAGAAGAGCTAGGGGAAGCAATGCAATAAAGAATGTACAAGGAAGAAAAGATTAATAATCTAGTGATAAAAAATATAGTGTTATCATGAGATTAATTAATCCAACAATCAGAAAAAATGGTGCACGGTAGACCGCCTACAAAGGTGGTCCACGGTAGCCGATGTTATCTTTTAGTGAAAGGCTATTTAAGAAGAGATTAATAACCATTAAAATGCTCCGCATAAAAGACCAACAATTGAAAAACACGTAAGTAATTACTGACAACTAGAAAAACATGAATGATTTTCTTAAATAACTAAATTGATCGATGCCATTACCCTTGTGGCCAAAAAGTAAAGCATTAATATTGTAAGTGATTTGATATTATCATTTTTTTTTCTTTGCATTCAAATAATCAATGTATTATGACTATCAAATAAAGGTCAAATGACATATTTTAAATGTGTATTTTAAGTCTAATTTGTTGAGATAAAATATGAGTTGCCAAATATTATATAAGTTTTTGAAGGATCGACACATAACTCATTTAGGATACTTAAACGATATAGTTCGCTTGCTAAAAGAGTAACATACCACATGTTTCTTGTAATTGTGATTGTTGAGAAAGAAACATGACTTCATCATAAGTAGCAAAAAATATTGGGTGGAAAGAGGCGAGGAAACATGAAATTTAAGATTTTGAAGATAATCATATTTAAACTATATGTTTTCTGATGTCATGAAAAAAAAATGTTAGATGTAAGTGAGTTTATTAAGTATTATTAGAGATGTGAAATGAATCTATTTGACTTGGTACCAATGCTTTGAAATGAATTGATCTACTTAAACTTTAATTTTTTTATGGACTATTTATTTTGTGATCTAACATATCTTATTGGTCCATGGATGAGGTTAAATTGACCTAATATATTATATTTTATTTTTATTTCAATTTTATAAAGAAAAATAAAAAATTAAATACTAGGCGAAATAGGTTTGATAAGTTTCGATTTTTTTTTTCCTAGCTTAGTTAATCTAGCTCGTTGGAAGGACAACTTTTTGGAGTATAGCCTAACACTCGTCAAGCTATTGGAAGAATATGTAAAATCGGGTAATTGGATCCATTCAAAGCAGGGCCCCCGGAAAAGAAAAAAAAATGTTTTACTAAATTGAGCGAAAGATTATATGAGAAGAATAAGCTTGAAGAAGAAGGCAATATTTGGATGTTTTATGGCATCAAACGACATGGGTATCAATTTTTTGCATTCCAACAACCTTAGTCATGCCCATTCCTAGGTTTATGCTCTTTTCATCCCACAATCGCTCCACTGGGGCGGCCCTCGCTCTTCTTCGAAGGTCACTCTCTAAACCCTTCACTTTTCTTTTTTTGAGTTTTAATTTTGGGACCGATACATAAGTTTTTCTCAACAATATGACGAATTGCTTATTTATTTCTTAAAGTTGGACGCATCATAGGCATTGGGAAGTGTTAATTGTTATAGCTTTTGTGATAGGTGTGTTCCCTCTAGGACAACTCAATCTGTTAGGTATACAAAATCTACAAGACACGGTAAAACAAAACATGATGTTCATCCTGTACTCACTCCTGAATCGAGCTCCACCTCGCAGGCTTCTCGCTCATGGGGTGCTTATGTTGCTGTATGTTCCCTTACTCCTCTCTATCTCTCTCTCTTATTGATGCATTGCTATGCAACAATTACTTGATTGGTTATCTCGGTTCTAGTGGGTTGAATTCTGTGTGTTCTTGATTTTCCTTTAGCCAGCTGCTGTTCTAGGATTTGCTGGGATTGCAGCTTTTTTTCACTACAACGATGAGAAGAGAGCTGTTCCCAAAGGTATATGCAATCTGGTATTCACAATTGATATGCTTTCAAGAGTTTGGTTTTGTCTGTAGCCTACTTGATTTGTTATGCTCTTGCATCATGAGCGAAGTTAGATGTTGCTCTTTTCTTATATTTAGAAGCAGCATTGCTTGATTAAATGATAAATACATTGCGGGACTGTATATGGTTTTATTATGTAGAGTTTTGTCTGATTAGTTGTTGCTAGACATGTTTGCTTCAATGATAAAAGAGGTTGGAGGGTCTAAGACTATCAGTGATCTGGCATACTGGTTGTGAAGTTGTAACAGTGGAGTTCTTATGTTGTTAGAATTGATTTTGGAAATATTACCTCGTTGTTTTGGATTTATAGCACTCTGATGCAATTTATATAATTTTGAATTTATAACAAAGTTTAAACTTTAAATCCATTGATGCAATTTATAAACATGCCAAACATTTTGCTGATGGAAACTTTCTGAGGTCAGTTTTTACATGACATTCACTGAGTGCAACTAGTGTCTAAGAATGATGAGCTATGCATCTTTTTGCTTAGTTATTTTATTATTATTTTTATCATGACAATGTGCCAAATCTACCCAAGTCATGTTTGGCGCCATTTGATGATTACTCATGTGAGTTTGTATATGTATTTAGGAATTGGGGAGAGTCTTTGCTTAATTTCTGTATGAACATATTTGACTAGATGGTTGGTTTCTGTCTGTTGATGAAACATTGAAACTTCTAATTTATGTCTCAAATATGAAAATAAAAATTCTATTCGTTCTTCAAATGTATCAGTTAGCTACGTATGCTTTGATAATAATATATAGGATATCATCTAGAACTAACCATTACAGAAGAATGTAAGGTGCATATCTTAAATTGCATTTTTGCTATGAGATTATTCCAATACAAACAAGAAGTGGTCATGACATCATAAGTTGCAACTTACTATTGTAGATCCATTTTTTGTTTTCTTAAAATTGTATCTCTTTTCATGGGTCTCGATTTTACAAAGTAGGCATTTGTTGGGATTTGAAACTGGAGCTTGTGATAAATTCCAGTTCCATTGCTTTATGAATTATGACTTGATTGGAATTTTATTGCCTAAAATGATCCATGACTTGCAAATAAAAATCATGCAGTTGAGAGTCTCAGGCCAAACGTTGCAAGAAATACCCATAATCTGCTAATTTTTGTCTTTGTAAGATCTTGTCCAAGAGTATTCATGGAATCACTTGTGAACTCTGGGTGAAATAGTTTCATTTTCAGGCATCAAAGCTCCGCAAGTTTTCGGATTATATAAGTGTGATCCTAATATAGGTTTGCAAGGGTGTTTTATTTCCATTATCATAATTGCTTTATTTCTTGAATCAGGTAATCAGGGTAGTGGACCCAGAAATGTTGTCAATGGATCAATAATTTGGGTTCCATTTACACTAATTAATACAGAGAAACAAACAGTTACAGAACGTGATTTTCTTGGGAATTGGGTTCTCCTCTATTTTGGCTATACCTCATCCCCCGATCTAGGGCCAGAACAAGTTCAAATTATGGCCAAGACAATCAATATATTAGGTTTGGCACTTAATCTCAGTTCACTGTATTATAAGTTTCTTTTCTCTGGGTTAAACTTAACATTCTGTATTTTATTTGGATCAAGAATCAAAACAGAAGCTTAAGATTCTTCCAGTATTTGTTACCATTGATCCTCAACGTGATACTCCCTCACAACTTCGTGCATACCTTGAAGGTGTGACAAAACTATCATAATTTTTAATTACTTAAAACTTTTGATTTGGTCAATTATGCTTTATGTTCTACCCTTATCCTCCCCTCAATGAATTTTCCCCACTAACTTTTCTTGTCTATCTTCCCTCTGTTGTGCTGCAGAGTTTGACTCAAGAATCATAGGATTAACCGGACCTGTTGCTGCTGTTAGGCAGATGGCACAAGAATATCGTGTTTATTTTAAAAAGGTAGAAGAGGATGGCGGTGATTATCTTGTTGACTGTTCCCACAACATGTAAGCCCTTGTTCTACCCTTATGCATCCTTCGGTAGTTCTGTATGGTTGCACTTGGATATAAACTGTGTTTAAACATTCAGGTATTTGCTGAATCCTAAAATGGAGGTTATGAGATGCTTTGGAGTCGAGTATAATGCAGAGGAGTTATCAGAAGCAATACAAAAAGAACTGAACAGAAACCCCTCTTGATGGTTTAGATGCAGGCATGAAGCCTGATATCACTTTCTACCCATGTTTTCTGTTCTTCTAATGGGATCTCAGAATCATTTACAATGTGACGATTTAACTTTGACTTTGGAGGAAAGCATTTAGCTTTTCTTTATTTTCATTTCGACTAACAAAAAGTTTAGGGGCAATCTGAGTTTCATTATAGGTTTCGCGGACAGATTTATTTTTTTGGGAAACATTTTAGATGAAAATTCTATACCTGAATGTTTTCATATCCACTTTCATCTAACAAGCACTTTGTTTTTATTTCATTTTGTCACACGTAAGTTTGCTAGTCTTGCTCCTGGACTCGTTCCAATGTTACATATTAGAAGCTTAAGCCAGTTGATTACAAAAACTAAAATCTCGTGAGAGTATTCTTGGCATGATAATTACTTGTGCGGTGAAGTAACTTTGAAACTTTACATATTTTATTTAAATTAAAAGTAATATATATATATATATATATATATATATATATATATATATATGGGGAGAG